TTAGTTGCAGCCCTACTCTTAACATAGGTATGTTTTTTTTTTTTTTTAATCATCAAATTACTCATAAAATTCAAATAATCCACTTTGCAACATTTCTTCCAAATTCGGCACAATTGTGCCGAATGGACCTTTTAAATACAAAAAAGGGGCATAGTTTCAGAATGCTCATGACTCTGAAATTTGACACAGTGTTAGCCGACAACATGAAGAACAAGTGTAGTAAGTGGGAGAGGTCAACTATGAATCATACAAAAGATATAACATAATAAAAATAGTATTTCTTTATTCGAGGGGATAAAAACGTTTTTTTTTGGACATGTTGAAGTCACACAGCTCTGGCTGTTTAAAACCTACAGAGTCTTTACACATATTTTATTATTTTACTGGCCAATGACAGTTTTGTTTTGTAATATATTTGTGCACAAGCTATAAAAAGGTGGGAATTACGGGGTTAATCTAGATGCATTTTCTGAACAAATTGATTTATATTCATTAGGAAAATAATAACCAATATTTTTCAAAGTCTATAGAAACAACTGATCTGACTTAATACACATACATGATGACATTACAGCTAGTAAATCACCATGCTATATCATTTAGCAGGTATTTTAATTCTTTTTAGAATAATTTTAATAATATAGTTTCAGTGATCTGGTATGAATGGTACAAATGATTCCTGCATACATTTGAGGTCATTTAATGATTTGTTTATATTCGTCTCATTCATAAATCTCTGAGTAAGCCTCAAAAACTCTCATGACTTTGCCTCAAAGTAAAGAAGAAGTGGCTCTTTTAGCAGCTAATTTTCCCAGAGCAATAATCTCTCTTTTTTTGCTTCTTTCCAAATAATGAAAATCATTTTTTTTTGGCTGTGTGTGGTCTTAGACTTTGTTCAGCCATTAGAACCGTGACACGGTGCTGTCACCCAGCAACAGTCTGGCCCTTTTTGTCCTTAGCTCTGGGATCCATTTCATGAAGCAGGTTTAGTGAAAATTCAAAGTTTTCTAAGTTTCCATTTGAGGAAGAGAGTTTCCTCAACCTCTGTTTATTCTCCTCAGAGCTAACCTGTTCAGGAGCAGGTTTTCTTCAGTAAACTCAGTCTCCTCTGTCCCCACTCTCCTTAGAGCCAATCACGCTGTTTTATTTCCTGGTTTAGTCAGATTTCTGTCATATTTTTGTGCATAAAAATAAAAATCATTCCCTAGGTCCATCAGACACATTAGGTTTTAAATACAAACATTGCATGTCTGTTTGACAAGGATCTTATTAGAGACTGACCAGCATTTTTACATTTTTTTCAATATTTATAGGGAGAAGATTCTACAACTCAGTTGACAGGATATGAAATTTATTTGTCTTTGGTTTGTTTGATATGAGCAATATGCAGATCATTTTATTATTTATTTATTTTTACAGTACAAGCAGAACTACTGAAATTAGATGAATTATTTCCGTGGAGAATAGGAAATACTTTAGGGTTAGGATTAGGAATCACTGGGTGATAACAACCTACTGAGCCTACAGGCACAATAGGCTATCATTTGTAGTTTATATTAAGGCGTTAGTTTTTGCCTTTTAGATGAGTTCTCAAATAAGAGTTGCGGTTTCTTTGTGGTAAAAGGTTCAACCTTGGACCTCTAGTCCATAGTGAACATGTTTTCCTTTTGATTTGCTTTTAAATAAGAAATAATCCCAGTAGCTGTCCTTATTTTTGGGGGCATTTTTTATGCTTAAGTTCTTTACAGATGGCACAGAATCTGTAGCAGAGGTTCTACCCATCAATCTCCATGGTTTCTAAGGTTCTTTCAAATTACACAGAAATTTACTGATATTAGTGAGGACGTACTTAAATACTTTTAAAATGGATGTACTTTTGAATACCGAAGTATTTTTAAAAGGAGCACTTTAATACTTTAACTTGAGTAGATGTTTAACCAGGTAACTTTGACTTCTAGTTAAGTAAGATTTGACTGTAAGTATCAATACTTTCACTCAAGTATTACTGTTGAGTACTTCGTCCACCACTGGCAGTAATACCTTTAGCTTTTCACTGGAAAACTGAAGTTGCTTTTTTACCACATTTAAATATGAACAGTTTATAGACTTTTACATTTAAGAGAGGAATAATTAAAGGTTTCTGTCGTTATCCAGACTAGAGAAAACAGAACAATCACAAAATAACTGCTTTTCTTCGTTAGATCTCATAATATTGATTTTATCACAGAAACAAAGCCGTTATGGTTGTATCACTGCTGAGTTTTTTTCCCCCCTCCTGATTATAGGTGGGGGCGGTCCAGCTGAGGCTGAACAAACCCTTCTTCTTTAAGGCAAAAGGAGAGGGACAGTCCCCGCGTCCGGAGTCGCCGCTGATGAAACTCGCTCTGGGCCAAGAGGATAAAGCCAAGAAGTGCCGTTCAGGGAGAAGATGAATGTATTCCAACTTCAATGTCTCATTTTTGAGTTTTGACACATAAGAAAGTAACTCTGAGGAGCTACAGTTGTCTAAAGATGTTGATTGTTGAGCGTCTGCTATAGATTTGCTGTTCCAAACCTAAACTTTGTTGATTATTTGTTACATTTCTTGGAATATGTTCTCTAAAGTACTCATTTTGAGGAAAATATTTCACCAAAATCCATTTTTATATATGACAAAACTATAAAATTGACATCAAACTGTTCATATATTTGTTATGTAACCAAAGTGCATTTTACCAATTAAATTATTCTAAAGACCAGACTCTCTTTATTTTACAAAAGAAGAAGAAAGCAGTTAACTCATTCAGTGCTGAAGTTTATTTCATCTCAATAAGCAGATAGATTTTTGGGGGAGATGTTTACATGGGATCCCATTTTACACCAATATATTTGACATATAAACTGGGATTGGTACCTATTGGTAAATATTTCTACCTCCAGTTAAAAGCAAACCAGCTCCATCTAACAATTCAGCATCTTTGCATGAAAAGATTTCAGAAAAACTTAAGCATCGAGGATCTAAGAAAGTGACAGAAATTTATCTGAAAATGTTGCATTTTTTCTGAATATGAATGTTCAGGATGAGCAGCTTAGTTGTGTCTGAAGAGCTTGATCCCCATCCAGCTCCAGAGGTGGAAGAAGACGTAGACGGGGATGGTTACTGGCAGCAGCAGGCTGTAGAAACACAGACTGTTGCTGCTGGTGCAGCCCTGAGGGAAGTTCTCATCCACAGCAGCAGAGTAAAACAAACCGAACAGAGACACGATGGGAACCAGTCCCACCATCATGGACAGGGAGAACATTCTGGCTATTCAACAAAAATCCTACTGCTGGATTCGCATCAGTCCGTGCATGGATGGATTTCACTTTGAATTTAGACGTTCAAGAGTTCTACTCTGCAGGTTTGCTTGGAGATGGTTCTTCTTTCTGTAGCAGCCTGGCCTCCTGCGGGATCATGTTAGGAATGCCATCAACGATGGGATAAGCGATGCCGAGCTCCTCGTTGATCAGTTCATTGGTGTCAGCATCGTACCTGAAAATAGATAAACACCTTATCTTGCTGAGTTTACACCAGTGAGAATTTTACATTTCATCTTTTCTGCAAAAAACATGCCAACACTTTGGATTTCATTTCACAGCTTAATGACCAAAAAGCAATATAATCTCTTTCATGCCAAATCAAAGCGATTGTAAATTGTGACAAATAATTATGGTCATGATTGAATTTTAAAAGGTTTGGAGTGTTGGACCCCCTGATCCCTTAAAGATTTAAATGTCTCTTTTTTTTAGCAAACAAAAAAACTTAAAAATAAATTCCTTAATGTGTGTCCTTAATGATAATTGATTAAGTCCTGTTTTAGACCTAAGGATTTAAATTTTGTGGAAGATTCATGGGAGAAGATAAAGAATAAAGTTTTAATTTGACATTT